ATATATTGTACACCGCCTTCGGCGGCACCTATTTTAGCGCCATATTTATGGGGACCGCTATACTAGAAGTTCCAGGTTTGCTGTTACAGGTTTTTTTTAAAGCAACACTTGTCAATTTTAGCTTACAAATGTAAACATATATTTTTACTGTGATATTATTGATTCTATCTTTGATTTTTCAGAGAGGCAGAAAAATATTACACTAAACGGAAATCAGTGAGTAGATGGAAAGCGTTGGGGAAATAAAATTGAATTACATGTAGCTATTATAAATATTGAAAATTTATGAAAATGTAGAATTTATGAATAGAATGGGAAAACAACTGAGTATTATATACTAGTGTATTTGGAATATTTAAATTGTTTTATATGTCATTAACAAAAGCAAATAATTGATAGATGTATTAAGATATGTGTATATGCATATAATTTACCCCTTTAGCTTAAAACATTCTTTACCCCCTGGTGATGCTAGGTCTTAAATGAAAGCATTGCATTATTTGTAATGATGCTAGAATGAACTCATTTTCTCCATTTCTTTCCTATGATGCCATGATTCAACAAGCTATACATATCTAGTCAAATCAGCTATTTCCTTTTTTTTTTAAACTGACTTTTATTTAGAAGACATATTATAATAATCGCAAGTTGCAAAGCTATAGCTCTGTTAAAGGTTATGTTTAGAGCATTTTATTAAAGGTTAATATAGCCTGAGGATAAGCTTGTTTTAGATTATAAAATGACGTATTCGTTTTTAGCAACCAACAAGGAGAAGCAGAGAATTTGACGACGGTCCCATCTTCCGATGAACGCATTTACGCGAGACCGTTTTCGTTTGGCAATAACAATAACGGAAAAGGTAATATTTATACATACACATGTACACACACTTGTAATACATTAGAATTTTAGTGTTTATTTCGTCCATACTTGATCAGTTCTTAACAATATACAGATTTTAGTGGAAGACAAATTCTTTACAAAATAAAGATTTTAGTGGAAGACAAATAGATCTTTTGATGTCCCGTATATATATATATATATATATATATATATATATATATATATATATATATATATATATATATATATATATATTCTTTGTAGCTTTTACGGAAGCCCAAAGATTAACAGATCGTGAAAAGCAAATTGAACTAGAACGTAGACAATGTGCAAGGTAAGGATGAAATAATAGAATTCAAAGAAAATAAAATCAAAATACAGTTCATAAAATATTAGACGTGATCCATAAACATATTGTCTATTCCAGCATGTACAGCTATGGAGGATTCTCAGTGAATGAGTTTCAAGATGATGAAATTATGTACGACAACCAGTTTGCCCCAGAGTACAAATAATATTTAATATCTATTATGACGTTTTTTATAACAATATTATTTACAAGGGGAAGAATATTTCAATTTCATATGCTTTGTTTCTTAGAATAACCATATTTGAAAAACAAATTGTTGTAATAAGTACGTGTATATGTATCAGAGAAATGCATATGGCGCAGTTAAGTATGTATGGATCACAACCTCCCTCCCACCCCACTGTCACTCCAACCCAGTTCACTTAAATATTTTTCTCTGACATGATGCTGATGGTTTTCCAAAAGAAATTTAATTAATAAATTTAACCATTTATTTTTTATTTGACAAGAAATATGATATTTAATGAACGAATCTATACAAAGATAACAGACTTATTATACCCCCCGCTTGAAAAGCGGGAGGGTATATAGTGATCGGGATTTCCGTCCGTCCGTCCGTCTGTCCGTCCGTCCGTCCGTCCGTCTGTTACGCTTTTTCTCTTATCCGCAACTCCTCTTATACTACTGAGTGAAATTAAATGAAACTTTCACAGAATCTTTATTACATATTGCCATTGTGCACCTCCTATTTTACTTTTTTATTCGACGCGTATTTTAGGTTTTCCAGAGCAAAACATGGACATTGTCATTTTTTGTTTACCTATGACGTCACATAATAGAAGCTTCTGGATAACATTTCATAGGACGAGTTATTCCTCTTTACACATTACCGTAAAACAATATAAAGCAACACATCGACATTATGGGAGGCGGGGGGTATCATTTAGTGAGCTCATCGCTCACAGTACCTCTAGTTGAAACTTAAAGAGCAGTTTTCGAAACAAGCATTCGACTATTTTTAATGATTGAAAACAATTTAACACTATTACAATGTGTGAAAGCGCAAGAAAATAAAGTCCGGTACCATATTCTATTGAATGGAATATCATTTTTTTTAAAAATAAACATGTTTTATTCTTTAGACGTTATGTTATTGAAAGTTTAAAATATTGTCCTTTAATAAACTTAAATTCATCTTATATTTATACATATATAATGTTCAGGCCTTTTGTAGTTGGATAACAATATGGAATTTATGATACATTGTACATGTATAAGTTGCACAAGATTATTTTATTTTCTAGAAAGCAAATGAATTTAAAAAAAAAATTGTTTCCGTGTGAAATAAATTATTAATCTTTCTCCACTCATTGAATCTTCTGTAAATTACATATTTAAGGTTTTGCCCCTCTCTTTTCTCGTAACGTAGTGTTATACGCTAGTTGACTCAGGGTCAAAATTGTCGTGATCTAAACTTTTTTAAGAATCTATTAGAGTCTATTTCAGAATAATGATATGCTCTTGTATGTAAAAGGTGATGGTAATGAACAATGATGCAGTTCAACCAGATTCAAGACGATTTGACGACAGAAATTACCTGTGCGAAATCTTGGATTTCTTTTCCACAAAGCCTAAATGTTGGTTTTACCTATTTCGTTCTCAAAAAATTATAGTACCCACCTTTCATAAAAAAAGATAAATGAACACAAACTACTACGGTTTACTTCATTGGAGAAAATACTTTCCTACAACATATTATTTAGTTATATCCATTCACTAAAATGTTCACAATGAATGATTTGACAACAGATTTCAGAATAGGTGTAGCTTTAAATTTAGATCCAGGGGTAGATCAATCCACTTGCAGAAAAGTCAATCGCATCATCTCGGGTCTTTTCGTCAGAGGTCGAAAAACAAACTCGAATGTATCGACATCATCGGATGTTAAAAATTTCTACATTTCCTGTTCATAGTAAAAACGGAGTTAGAAGTCCCTTCTTTAGTATATTTTAGATAATATCATTACATTAATATTGAATAAAGTTAACTCCATATTCCACAGATAATAGGTCTACATGTATATACATCATCCATGCTTTTATTTCAAAGTTTGTGAAAAGGTGGGGGGGGGGTGTCATGGCGTATAAATTAACAATACATTTGTGGTCTTCTTCCCTAGATAAGGCCCGAGGAGTGGGACCGAGGAGTTGCAATTGGCAGAAAACCCACATACATTAACCATTCTGTTAACAACTCTTCAGAATGCAGCAAAGGCATCGTTACAAGTTAATTTTATTTGAGAACCTTGTAAAAATATTTAATTATTTGTATAACGTTAAACAATATACAATCAATCTACAAGTTAAATAATTAAATATTTTTACAAGGTTCTCAAATAAAAAGACATTTCAAAGACAAAAAAGTATTGCTCAAAAGGTTTATAATTTCTCTTACAGATATTGATTGATTAAGTCAGGCAAGCTTTTTGAAAAGCTGTTACTTGTATATCATAAGGAGTGGTTGAAGGAAGTGTAGTTAAGTCGTACGATTTGATGTTACCGACTCATGCTTACTACGAGGGCTGTTCGGAAATTATTGAGACAATTACAGTTACTCCATAAAGGACGGAGATAATTTCATGAAAATTCATCAACATTTTATAAAGAACGAATAAAACACTTAAGCAAAATTTCCAATTCCTATGATAATTAGGTAAGTTTCGGTGAAATTATAAACATGAATATGTCTATCGACCCGGAGCAGTATCGCTACGCATTTAACATCACGTCAGCCGGAGGTGGTTTCGCATGTGATACGATCGGGAAGCGTTTAATACTCTTCCTTCTTTGCTATTACATATAACATAACAAAGAAGAAACAGTCTCTTTTCTTAAACTATTCTTTAAAAATGTATGCTTTTGCTAACCCAGTGTAAAATTTTCATTTGTTGGAAAAGATGACTTAGCATCATGCAGTGCCGATTTATGCAAGGTACGCGGTTTATCGTTATTAATACCGAAAACGTTGTTAATATCGTACGTAATAACTGATGGTCGTCCAGGGCTTTAAATTCTACTTTGATGAATTAATTGTAAAGGAAATGTCTACCAATAATATAATAAACCCTAAATTGATTTTTCTCGTTCTTGTTTTAGCAGGTCGTTCATTAGTCTGGAAAAGAGTTCTACATTGCTCTACACAAAATTTTAGGTGTGCTCACTGCTCCGCCCTTGACGTCAAAATTCATTTTCTTGTTGATAGCTAATTTCTCTACCGCGCTTAATTTTCTTATGATCTTCGTATTTCTGTTATAAATTGTAACAAAGTTGCAGAACATGACTTTGATATAAAGGTGTAAGATTATACACATAAATTGAAATATTTTCGCTCTTATATAGGTCCAAAGATTTAGAACGTTGGTGAAACATATTTTTAATATCTTATTTCGTGACTGCTCCGGGTAGCCCTACTATTGACGCATTTATATGCCATTGTAGAAAAAGTATTTAATATTTGTAAAATATTTCTTATTTAATTAATTATTAGTGTAAGTCAAATGCACATGCAAATTTTTACCGAAAGACGTTCATTAGAAAGCAAAATATACACAATGTCTCAATAATTTTCGAACAGCCCTCGTATTTATACACAAGGGGAATCTTCCCTGCTGTTATAAAAATCAAATGTGCTACATTCAGAGAGATGGTGAACACAACAATTACTTTGTACGCTAAAGAACAAAAAACATAGATCACAGATAGTTCACATGACTATATCCATGAATGATATTTCTTTCTCTCAGAAAATATATAGGCTTTGATAAATTCAAATGGCGCATTAAATGAAAATGCAATTTACAGAGTTAGGATAATCATGTGGATGGAGAACAAATTTCTCTTGATTATATTCAAATGTCTGCAGTCTGTCTCTCTTTTCAAAGTAGTGCAGTAAAAACCATGAGTATACAATAATGAAAGAGAAATGTATTTAAAATGGAATTTTCTTCCTTAGCAGTTGGAATAAACCATGTCGTTCTTGAGGTACTCATGAATTACTTCGTAACAGAATTTATATTCCATCTAAAAATAGAAAGGTAAAAAATAAAACAAATGATATAAACTTGAAGGTCAATAATATATTATCTGAAAAGAAGTAATCTATATAGTACTTTAAAAGGAATCTTACAAAGTCAGGGAGAAATTCTGGTCGGCGAATCTGAAGCTGTCGAGCTATGGTGAAGATATCGACCTCTCTATCATAAGTAAGCTCCTCTATTGCATTGAACACGGTACAGAAAACCCCAGTTCTCGTTGCCCCATCACTGTCAAAACCAATTTTTGAAAGAAACTGTGGCAAGTATTACTTCTTTCAAATACAGGATATATCAACAATATGGAAAAATGATTTTTGTTAATATTAATTGAACAAATAATTAATAAATTGATATTATTAGATATGTGCAAGTACTTTTCCTAAAGTACCTCGAAGGTGAAATAGTGCTGCATTGAATTTTGTACGATGTTTTAAAGAATCAAGTAATTTTTTTCTTATAATACCTTGATAAAACAACAATGGAAGTATTGGGTAGAGCATACTGAGACATTTTTACTTCCTTTACTAAATCAAGCATATTTCGTGGATCCGACGTCCATTCTGTAGCTTGCCAGGTTAAACACTCAAAAACCTCAAAATGCATATCTTTAGAACCCTTCAATACGTAGGAAAGCATCAAAATCATATTAAAATTAGTGAAATTTCTATCTGATTCTCAGAGATTGTTTTGTAGCGCAAAATCTATATTTATTTAACTGATTCATTATACATATCGTATTCAATTTTTCATTTTTTCCCTTACGTCTTCATTCTTACCTTCTTCTTAACCTCCAAATTGAATTTTGAAATTCCATTTGATTTTGATGAAGATTTTTGTGTTATTGTGAAGGATCCGACGTTTGTTGACGATTGTGCTTGTGGTAAGAATGGGTTTGTCTGTAAAAGACACAAGAGAGATAAATGATTGTTTCGATTTTGTGTTTTAAGGACATATTAAAACAACTGGTCTTGAAATTTTCTGAACCTTAGGCTCTCATTTTATAAACCCATTTATCTTAAAGAACTATAATTTAAAAACCATATGCAATTTATACGAAAGATTGATGATTGTTTACTATTTAACGTCCCTCTCCAGAATATTTCACTGATATGGAGACGTCACCATTGCCGGTGAAGGGCTGCAAATTTAGGCCTATGCTCGGCACTTATGGCCTTTGAGCAGGAAGGGATCTTTATCGTGCCACACCTGCTGTGACACGGGGCCTCGGTTTATACGGTCTCATCCGAAGGACCGCCCCATCTAGTCGCCTTTTACGACAAGCAAGGAGGTACTGAGGACCTATTCTAAGCCGGATCCTCACGGGGCTATACGAAAGATATATCAACAAAGCAAAATATAACTGATTTTGTCATATTAAATTACAGAGAAGCAATCATAGTAGAGAAGCTTTGTACCTTTTTAAACGTTTATCAGAACTTAATTACAATTTCAAGGAAATGGTACTAATATATACAAAATATTAATTACTATAAAAACTAAAACTAAAAAAAGTAAATATCGTTACATAAACAGAATCAATATCCGTAAGCGGAGACAGTGCTACAAGAATTGATGCCTCAAAATCTTTCAGTAGTCTGAAAAGGGATTCAGCTGAACCATCAACGGGAAACTGCGCGCTCATTAGGCCATCTGGTTTGGTGTATGACTAAAAATAACAGTAAAACAATACAGAAACCCTTCTCTGAATAGAATTTCTGTAGACTAGGAAAATGAGTTTCAAACGAATGTGTTCATTTGGAATTAAGTATAGCATTAAAATATTAAAAGTTGATAAAAAGGTACAGCTGTATGTGTGCATTTGATTCTATTTACACACTTTTGTCATCATCATATTCAAGTGAAATATTAAAACTTTGATCTTGCCTGTAGTAAAACAGCGTTATAGTAACTGCTTTGTCCTTTGATGTAGGAAAGGTGAAAAAGATATTTGTCCACTGTAAAAAAAGAAAGTTCACAGTGATAATGTAACTACAATAAAAATCAGCTTAATAAAAGAGAGGCCAACGAGCCTTAATTTATAGGTCGCCTGAGGATCATGCAGCAACTTTCTAACAAATCTTTTTGGTTTGTGTTATAAATCAGAGGCCATGAAATTCACAATTTTGCAAGAGACACCATTGACATATCAGAATAACAAAGAAAAAATGCATTTCCACTCGATAATCAATAGTGCCCCATGGGGCCACTTATTTCATAATTTTCTAAAAGGCAACTTTGCACATTATGAATAGTTGAGTTTTACCAAAGAGCAGATTTCACAGCATTATTTCATTTTGCTTAACGTGTTTTAGGATCATCCCCCCCCCCCCCCCCCACCGCCAACAGTACCCCTGACCCAGTGCAATCTAATTAAATTTAGACTTGTATTTTCGCTCTTCTACTATATATATACAATGCTTGTATTGAAGCGTATAGTAAAGGAGCGAAAATACAATTCTAATCTTTATTAGATTGGACCCAGAGGCCATGATATTCATCATATGGAAAAGACACCGGTACCTTTCCTCACAATAACTATGTACTTAGATCATCGGCATAATATGCAAGACCAGAGGGGAAATTTTTCAAAGAATTGATGCATTCTCACAACATAATCAATAGAGCCCCGCCCTAAAACCAGAACCCTTGACCAAGGGCCCATGAAATTCACATTTTTAAGAGGCATCCTACATATCATAACTATGAACATGAAGTTCATCAGCTTTATATTCAGGAGCAGGGGGATTTTCAAAGAACTAATGTATTTCCACTATGTAACCATTAAATCTAGGCTCTAACACCAGTACTTCTAATCCAGGGGCCTTAAAATTCACAATTTAGGAAGAGGTAATTTTCCTTATTATATTTATATACATAGTTCATCGGTTTAACACCCAGAACATGCAGAAGCAGAGGAGAAGATTTTCAACGAAATAATGCATTTTTACTATATTTTTACTATGAACCTGGCAAAGCATCCTGTGTGAAATTCTTGTCCAAATTCTCTTTAGCTGTCCTGTAATCGATGTCCTTGTATACGGGCTTTATGGCCTTCAATAACTGGTAAAAAAAAAGAGAGAAAAATTGCTTGGAAATATAAACAAAAGTAGATGCAGAGACGGATTTATTGCTCATTTTATATATTATCTATCGTGCATTTCTACAAAGAAATTCTAGGCTGTTTGAATTTTATTATCAATGATTTTCATTTTAAATACCTTGAATTCTGTTATAAGTTGAGCCGTAGATTTCGCTGCGTCATTTTTCATGTCGCAAAATTTTTCCGCAAATGTATCACCATAAACTAAGTTGCCCTTCGCTCTGAAAGCTTCGTGTAAGGCTTCATATACTGTTTTGTATTGTTCCTGTGTAAATAATATTAATGATTAACTAGAAAAGAAACATCATATTGAGAATTTCAAACTGTAAAAAAAAAACTTTAAAATTTTGGCTCCCAATGGATAAAACGTATTTTAATGTCATAATTTAAAAAAGAATAGTTAGTCAGGTCTCTCTCACATTAATGTCAAGAATTTAGGTAGATCAAAGTTCTTTATGTTAATTTAAGGTAGGACAAAACACCCGTGGATTCTATTTTAAGGAGGCTCATATTATTAAAAATAAATAAGCATAAACACAATTCAAAAAATAGAATAAAACACTCTTTGGTGCTGTGATCACTTAAGTTAAAATGTTGAAAATATCATATCTAAACAAAAGCAATCATCCAATGATAAGCATGGACATAGAAAGTCCTCTTAATTATTTCAGAATGTGCCAAAGTTGTCCCACCGTAACGCTCAGCAGCTAATTATAAAATTGACACCATCAATTAGTTGGCAGTATAATAATTGGGCCAACGTTGGCCCAATATAAATATCCCATATTTGAAACACTTAAACAAAATAACACTTGTGTGTATTACAAACATTGTGCCAACGTTGGGCCAACATACTACTACCAACTTGATAGGACAGTTCTTTAAGGGTGTATTATGTTCTAAATTCACCAGTTCAAACGAACATAAATTATTTATAAATAAAACTCAAAAACACTTTATAGAGGATGAGCTCGCATGCGCGAGTGCAACAGACTTTAATGAAGAGTATACAGTATACAAAGCACAGTCTTTAGTTTAACTTCTGAAATCCAAATCATTCTACAAAAGAAAAAGAAACAAATAAAGCGACAGTCAACATTAAAACGAACATTTTAACATGTTCAGTATATCGATCATACTGAAAGGGGTGGGTGGGGTGGGGGATAAGTCTGTTGCAATGTAGCAGCGAACTTCGAATAACTTAAAACACCCGAAAATCTACCTTATACGTGACTGAATCATGCGTAGCACGGATTCAACCTATTCACCCGTAAACAAATCGACCAACCAATCGATCTCCTTTATCGATGGACTTAATCTGCATACAAAACAAACATACGTGTTTTACCATAACTTTTATAAATATATTTACAAACAATGGGCCAACATAATACTACCAACCTGATAAGACATTTTCTTTAAGGGTGTATTAGAAACATCGGGCCAACGTTGGTCCAACATACTACTTCAACTTGATAAGGCACTTTCTTTTAGGGTGTGTTACAAACATTGTGCCAATGTTTGGCCAACATATTACTACCAACTTGATAGGACACGTTCTTTAATGGTGTATTACAAACAATGGGCCAATTTTGGGCCATCATAATACTACCAACTTGTAAATACACTTTCTTTAAGGGTGTATTATAAGCATTGGTCCAACGTTGGGCCAACACCAGGATCCTTCCTTCCTTGGATACTAAAGTGAATGGAAGTTGTTTACGTTGTACCAACGTTGGGCCAACATAGGAATTCCGTCATGGTCGAGAAGGTTGACTTGGTAACATTGGTCCAACGTTGGCCCAACGTTGTTCCCCCAACGCCAACCATACAACCTTTAACAAATGTTGGCCAAACATAGTCATGCTATCTGGGATTACACCACTTTTTGATGACGTACTACACAAAAAAATAAACCTCCATAGTGTCGACCGGTTTCCTCTTGGGACGAATTGTACAGGTACCTCTATAATATGACCCTGACCTTTAAGACACTTTAAATATAGCTTAAACATGCGGTGTGTGACCCGGTGTTATAAAAAGTAAAACAAAGTCACGGATTCATAATGCATAAACCAAGAAGAATTGCTTTTGAGCAGAAACAAAAGAAAACAACAGTCAAATCTTCGCCAAACAAGTAATGTCAATTTCATAGCGATACATGCAGTGAGCTCTATCAATCAATGACATGTTTGTATGGAGGAAATTCGAGTTAAAATCTACACCCTTGTTGACATTAAAAAATTAATTACTTGCATTATTTACTGTGTTGTTGTTAATTTATTTATATGCTTTATTGATTTAAATGTCTACTCTGGCAATTTAAAGCTTTGTTCTTAATTTTAGATGTAATGTCAAACTTTCCGTCGTGTTTTGAGTCTTGGGTAATTAGGAAAGATAACTCTTGAAAGTGGACTTTTTATTCCAAATATTTTTTAAATTGGATTTTTCATTTCATTTAAACATTCTTCATTCAATTTGTCACATGTAATTCATTGAAATACATTCCTTGTCTCTTTAGAACTCATTTTCTTAATGTTTTATGCATAGATTAAAAAGATAATGACATTGATTGTTTTTTAGGAGAAAATTATTTTTTCTAATAAAATTATTATTAGGTATTATGAGGTATTTTCACTGTATGTACTTGTCTTAAGAGGATGCCCATCATTTGACACTGAAAGTTCAGAAATTCTGTTAATAATAAACTTGAAATAAAACATTTCACTAAAATTAGACAAAAACTTAAAAATTCTATAAAAATATTTATGATATCAATACCCCCAACTGGATATTTGACATCTACATTATAAGTGGTGCTGTATTGAAATCTAAAATAAACTGTGGATGTAATGAGCCCCCTTAACCCATTTCTTAAAAAGTACTTGAGAAAAAAAGAATAATATTACTATATTGACAACAATGAATGACCCCTGTAAGAAAAATAATAAGTTTTGGCATGTTTGCGTCATATTTTATGAAAAAATCAGAGAATCCTATATATTGATCATTAGGGGACTTACATTTTGAATTGTGTTTACGCTATCTAAGTGCAATAAACAAGCATGTAACAGTCTGTAATAAAATGCAGTGTAACTTTTGTTCCATAAATAGTAGAGGGCTGATATTTTGATACATATATAAGGAGTCTCCATTCTTTATGTACTATAAAGGTCAAGGTCATATCAAGAGGTCAAAGGTCAAATATTGTGAGGTCATCTACTGAATCTTGAAATTTTTTTGCCATTGAAATTATTTTAATCGCCAAAATATCTGAAACCATTGGTTCAATTTCCTTTGTTTTTACACGTTTTATTCTAGGACCCATTTTAATTATTCTGTTAATTTTTTGTAAAAATTGCATCATACATTTTCTCTTTTAAAAACTTAAACTGTCTGATATTTACATATGAATTTTCAATTCCGACGCTATGTGTGTTATTTTTACTTAATATTTGTCTCAAATTTTTCATTATCAATATGACTTACTGATTAAAAATACCAAAAAAGGTTATTTTTATTAAAAGTATTACACAGATTTGCAATAGATCAATTGATAATTCTAAAATAAGGCTAATTGTCAAGTCGGTTGTCTGATTTCACAATCTTCTTACCGGGGTCTGATAGGCCAAATTTCAGATTATGTGGGCAAAAAATGTGTGGTTGAATTTTTTTCATATCATATATGAAGAGAGATTTTGTATCCTAGAACAAAATTTCAAAGTTTCAGAAAAATTGAATTCCAGAGGGAAAATTTGGCCTATCTATTGTGTCCTACCTTAATTAATAAAATCAAACAGAAAATCGCAAATACTATTGAAGCTTTTTTTGATTATGAAGATATTTTAGATAAGAAGTATCCAGATGTGCTAGAACCATCTTTCCAACAAACAACGTTTACTAATTATGTCAAACTTTGAGCAATATGAAATATAAGGGCAATACAAGGTTGCTGTAAAAGCTGAAAAAACCCAAACAGTAGCAAAAAATCTAAAACATTATGAATTACGATTTTTTTAAAAGAAGATAAAACACAAACTCTTGCAAATACCAGATGTTGGATCAGGTGCCCAGGAGGAGTAAGCCTTTCCTGATGATAAGTTATGTAAAAATGTTTTTATAATTAAAAAACTCTTTTAATAATTTCCCAAGAATGTTTAAACTGAATTCTCAAAGTCGGGACAAGATTGCTAAATGCCCTGTATATACATGTATCAAATATAAATAGAATAGAAATTTAACCTAAAAGTAGTAAAATATTAATACAATATTTAGAAAATTCATAAAAAAGCAGACATTATTAATTAAAAGTCCAAGATTTTTGTTATTTTTTAAAATACATTCTGATTGCACGCACAAGTACTCCGAAGTTGACATGAAAAAGATGCTTGAGTTTCTGATTGACAATATCTATGTGGTTTTTGGAGACCAGGTCTTCCAACAATCTATTGGAAATCCCATGGGTACCAATTGCGCTCCGTTATTAGCAGACCTATTTTTGCATTCATATGAAGCAGAATTTGGGCAAAATCTTATGCGTAAAAAGAAAAAAAAACACTTGCTGTGGCCTTCAACTTTAGATATTTATTGACGACGCATTGCCAATTAACAATGGTAATCTCGGTTAAAGTCATCATTTCGTAAGTTCTATGGTCGATACAATGACCTTGTCAGCAAATACAATTTACCATTGAGTCAAATGCTGACTGATGTTTTTCATACTTATTGTTAGTCCATTATTTATACACTGAATTGCCGACGGATTTTTCCCTTATTTCTCGATGATGACAAAAGACACACGGCCGGTGTGACCGGTCGGCAGGGGATGCTTCCTCCTCCATGGCACCTTATCCCACCTTTGATGTTTTGAAGGTCCGTGTTTGCTCTGCTCCTATTTTGTATTGTTTTATGGACTTTGATATTGAAAACTTTTCGTTATCTCCATATCCTTCTAAACGCAACATAGTGACAATTATATCAATACGCTTTAAAGTTTTGAAGACGATATTTAACGGATTGATTTATTCTGTGTTGTTTAACGTCCCATAGAATAGTTCGACCATAAAGAGACGTCACCATAAACCGGTGAAGGACTTCAAATTTCTTTTACTTTTACTCCATACTTACGGATTGAGAAGTGGGGAATATTTATTGTACTAACGCCTGCCGAGACACATGGGCTTAGTTTCAATACAAAGTGCCGATCACATGGCGAAGGAACAGGTACTACCCTATTTTTGATCGACTTAGGTCAGTCGCTTCCGATATTCGAACTCGCGACCTTCGTAACACAGAGCAAGCGCTCAACGACTGAGCTTTCGTTAATGTGATTTTTAAAGGATATTAAAGGTCAATAAACATTGACGTTGGTACTCATAATCTGTGCTTTATAAAAAAAAATATTCAAAGCCATGCGGTATATATTTTATATCGTATGACATATTTAGAATGAATATTCGTTAAGATTACTTTAAACAGGCTGGGACCACTCGTCCAAATGGGATATAATAGCCCGTTCGGGAAACAATATTCCGGATAAGATATAAATAAACAGTGCAAAAATATTTTTTATTTTGGCTATAAAAATCATAAATCCGCATCAAGATACTTATAAAGAAATAACTTTTGGTTAACAAGGTTGGCAGTTTATCTGTTTGCACATTGTTCAGGAGATTTATCTTTAAGATATTCCTTAAGGTAGTCCGATCCTCAGGTTTATAAAATTAGCAGTTAAGTTATCAAAAATACTCATAAAAGTATCTCTGAGTCCGCAAATTTATGTAAATTTATCCACAGTATATCCTGAAAGTTAAAGATTAAAGTTAATCATATTATAAAGGGAAAATTGTCAAATCTCCAATATTTTTGCAGAAAAAGCGAATTGGATTATTAGCAATGCATTTTCTAATTGCAAATTAATCAACAAATATATTTTAGGTTAAAAAACGATAGGTATCCAGGCATTCAGAAAAATTGTCATGGTTTTTCTACTTATTTTGTATTTTTTGTCTTCTATTTCCGTCATGTATTCTATAATACATAGTGTAAAAGGCTTTTGCTATCATTGCAAGACACCACAAATCATTCCTCATTTTATATCTTGCTAATGAGCATTGGTATCTAAGGCTGGACTCGAGAAAATCTTATTTCTCTAAAAACGCATTAATATGTTTTCTTTTTATAGGGTACAAATGTCAACTTTTATAAGACCTTTTCTAAGACTTCCAAAAACCTTGAATTTTATAAAGATGAATAAAATGAAAATTGTTGCATGAAAATTTTCAATTTCAAACTTCATTTTGATGCATTTCAAATTAAATATTAATTTTTTGAGTTATCCTTCCTGGCTGAGGATCTGATATCCTTAACATCTTGTGGATCAATCTAACAAACTGTAGAGTTGCAGAAAACCTTGCAAATAGATAATAAGGTTCAAATTATTCTAATGAGAAATGTAAGTACACTTACATGGCTTTGAATCATACCCATTCTGTCTTTTCTCATTGTTTTGACGTATTCTGGAATATTGACCTTGCCAGACTTCATGCCATGACGATACAGGGCATCAAGTGCAATAAAAGTTCCAGTTCTTCCTATCCCGGCACTGCAAGAGTCTTAAATTTCAAAGTTTCCATTGCTGTGGAATTATTTTTGCACATTTTTTTTTCTTTATAAAAGAAAATATGAAACATTTTTATGGCTTATTGTAATTCTTTTTAAGTACATTTTCCCTAAAACTGCTTCCATATGTTTGAGAGGAAAAAAATTGTTAGCTCTAAAATGTTTCCTAATCATCTTATCTTTAATATGGAGATAATGATTGTTTCTTTCATTATAAATTTGTTTAAATATGGGTTTACCTGCAGTGAACTATGATTGGAGCCTTAGTCTGCGATTGTGACGTCCGCATCACGTGACGATGAAAAAGCATCAAGTTCAGAGCTTCCGGAACATCATGATCAGGCCACTGAGTGTAGTGGAACATGTACAATACTCGTATTTCGTTGTTCTAGTAATTATGAATATCGCATTCTGTAAACTGTCTTAAAGTTCTAATGCAAAATCATTTATTACTAATGTCCTCTTCGTTCTCTACATCTAACATTGCTATATTTATTTTAAAGTTTATGAAAGGAGAACCAGTAGAAATTTTAAAAGATACGTAGTTTATGAAGACAACGTTGTGTTTTTGAATGACTTATTTTTACTCTTAAAATATATAAAGATTTATCAAAATGATAAACAGTAATTGCTTATTTAAAAGATATTACCCACCAATTTTGAAGTCACTTTCAATTTTCTTATAACGTAATTTGCGTATATTTTTTCCTCAAGATTTTGGATCTTAAATTCTCCCTTTTTGAGAGGATGACCTCTGTCTGGCCAATATTTGTCGCATTTAATCTACAATAGAAAACAGCTTTCATTACGTTTCCTGTATTTTAAATTATTTTTGAAAAGTAAAGCAACCACATATGCTAATGCTTATCTTTGTTATATCTTGGAAATAAATGTAAAATATGACTTGTGACATACTTTATGACCTTCAATTAGGTTAGTGAGGTTAACAATCTTTGCTGTGTTTTCCTGCCAAACCATTCTCCAGAAATCAGGAACAGTTGTAGGCTTAGGACCTATATAACAATCAAAAAGATTACCCAATATTGAAAAATATTGAAAGAATAATGCTACATTTGAAAATTTACCATTTTTGAAATTGTAATTTTCATGAATTAGTCTAAAGAGTAGAATGATAACCTTGTGTTGCTATGTAAATCTTTTCTCCGTCAACATTCTGCAATCAAGTTAAATTAAAGTTTCAATTTTCTATAGCAAGATACAGGTTTAAATATTATTGCTGATATTGTTGAAAATTGTTTAGTATGTGAAACTTTTCACATTATAAATGTCAGAACTTTCACTATCTAAAGGAGGTTGATACAGAGTACCTCTAGGTAGCTGGCATTGATGTAATTTGACTCTTTCGGTGAACTGTACTGGAGAACGACTCGAGAGTGATCATCTGTGAACAAAGAAATATTGATATCCATATAAATTTGTAAAGATGGTGCAAACACTTTTATGGATGAGAAAAAGAAACAAGAAATACAATTAATTATGCAACGCACTTACATGGAAAGGTAGTTTTATAACGGTTTCTTGGTATATTTTCTTGCTTTTTAGCTTCGTTGCAAGGAAAAAGTTCTCCTTTAGGCAAATTCTAAAATTACAGATAACCATCACATATAATTGGCATTTAATGTTTCTTTTTTGTATTAAATTACTCTATTTTTCATATTTTTTTTAAAATAATTAAATAAATCCTAGCTCTCTGATTGGCTAATCAGCAGCACTGAAAAAAGTACTTTGTAATGTTCAGCTGAACGTGACCTTCGAGGTGACAAAAGAATCCTTTTTACAATGGACTAAAAATAAATTAAAAACTATTTCACATATACTCGACTTCTACACAGGGGAATGCAACATTTAGGCTAATAGAGATGGGGGAGGGTTGTCCCAACCAACTCCGTCCATATTTTCCTGGACGCAGACTTTTACTTTTCACAGGTGTTTTTTCAGTTGAAAGACTAGTTATCCCCTTATAATTGTCATGTATACTCAAACTCCTTTATAGACCCTCACATACCACCCGAGCACCACTACGCAAAAGATTGGATTTTTAAAAATCCCTCTTTTCAAGGCCTTTTTAATAATAAAGTGTGAAGTTAACAAACAGTAACAGTAATCTAATTTTGTAGAAAAACAAAGGCCTAACAATTAGTTTTCAACAAGTCGGCCAAAATACGACCCAGTGATTGGTTATATATGCTAATAAAACCGTTATAACGATCATAGAGTTTACGAAATGCTGACTTTAAACGAGGCTGTAGTTTAGGAAATTTAAATTATAAACAACTGCCTCTGTTTATTTCTACCCTGCTTCTTTCAAACCATTTGGATATGAATTCAGCAATGTAAACAAAAACAAAACATGATTTCTTAATTAGTGATTTTTATTTCAATATTTGAATATATAACTTGAGTAGTTTATACGAAGTAGTCATTTCTTTCGGTCAATACGATGAATAAGGCCCATCTTGAAGTTAAATAGCAATAATTGTTTAATAAACATACCATATACTCCTTTTTGAATGCCAGATTTTCATCCTCTGACATCATCTGTATTCTTTTGAAAATGTCAGAGACAGGTAGATTTTCGTAGAATTTCGTATGTCCTTCCTCGCTTTCATCATTTGCCCCAGCATTGTTATAGACAAATGTTTCAGGCTCTGTCGATTAAAGGGAAGAAACAAAGATTTTCTCAGATTAGGGTTATACTAGTAATTCACGATTTAATTTTAAACTAAACACAGTTAGAAAAAATATGTATTCTTAAGAGAAAACAATCAAAATTCAGCAAAATTCTTATTTCGTTATTTTCGAAAAAGAGTAAATTAATCTTTCTTTACGGATACAGTTTCTTCTTTTTTTAATACATATAGATATAATATTTGCTAATTAATATTAAAATTTAATAATAAGTATAAATGATAAATCATAAAACTATTAATTTCCATTGCATGTTCAATAATAAGACGACCTTAAGTATATTATTTAAAACAAACAAAAATATATATAAGGAGTTGAAGACACTGTGTTTGTTTCTCTTTGAATACAGTCAAGAGAAATCATTTTTTAATACCAGGAGGTGTTAATGTGAAAATTGATTGTGAATTTTTCAGGAAAAAACAATGAATGCCTGTTCAATTATCAAAATAAAAGTCTTTCCTTTCAAAGTTTAATCTTTATTCCTTAGTTTTATTTGCTGCATTTCCATTTTTAAAATTCAAATAATACGGAAATGATCGAAAATCAGACTAAAACTATTACCTGTCATTTCATCATCATCATCCAATGGTTTGGATCGTAGGGCAGAAAATAAGACTCCCGCAGGACTTACATGAACACCATCCTTTGTGGCGAGCAATTTCTTTCTGTACGATTAACAAATTTTATTAATACATCTCGAGTAGTCCCTTTCATAAAAAACTTTTTTTTTTAAAAATATACGCTGAATCATTTGTTTTGATGATATCAATCAACTGTACCAATAAAAAAAATAAAATGTTTTGTACACCTTCACGTCGGTCAAATAGCTTAAGTCAAATAAACACTATCATTATATTATTATGTACAAGAATATGCCATGATTTTTGAATTTGTTTCTTACAGCTTTATCAAATGAGGTTTGATCCTGTAATCAAAAGTTTTTGTTCAGTTTTTTTTAGTATTCACACACATAGTTCTTAATCAAACATTAAGGTATTCAGTGTATAATCATTATGAAGGGATTTTGAACAATTTTGAATAATTTTAACCTAATTTAAAAAAAACATTGTTAGATAATGATAAAAGTGAATTGAACCAAATTCACAAGACTAATAACATGTAAAGAGACGGTCATTTTGTATGTTAAAAGTTTTTGTAGAGTTATCTGCTCTTGGTGAAAAGAAGAAAAATTTTAATTTCTCAAAACGTCTTTGGTAAAAAATTCATTTTATTTCATATCTTAATAAAGAAAGAGATTAGACATGTTTTCACCAAGAGATTTGTTTGAATTCAAATTACTTTTTGAAATACCTTATAAAAACATGCACTGCCATAGACTTCAATGTAAAAACCAAGGTTCAATTAAATGGAGAATTATCAAAATTTTGTAAATTCCTTTGGTGGAGCATTTTTATTTGATAGCATCTTCAAAATGCACCATGATTTAAAATATCAGACCATTCATTTATTAGGCACAAAATATGGTCGTTATACATTGAATACCTTAAAACAAAAAATTGGAATCAAAGTGCTTCTTTTAGAACTATGGTAAATTTTATAAATGTACGGCCTAGCTATTAGCACTGAAATTCTGTTTAAACCATATATCACTTTCTTCAATGCCTTTTGTCCAAATACATCATGGTACACATCATATTTTTTTTATCCCTTTTTTTTCAAAGACACATTAATCTGTCCTTTTTCTAGCATTAAAAATTTTACAAGAATAAAAATTATTTTTTTATTTTATCTTTAACCTTTGTTGAATTTAATCAGAATGTTTTACATAATCTTATCAATCAAAATTGGGAGTCTTTTATATAAATTTTTATTGCTAAAAGTGCTATAGTTAAGTTGAAATTGGCCCTATTTCCTACAAGTGTATATTCGTCAAATAGGTTGATCGAATCAAGTTATGCAGTTGATAAATATTTCGCGACAAGCATTAAACATTTCATTGCACAAGATAACTTTGAATCCTACATGGAAAAATAGGAACCCTATTTTAATTAACAGTACTGTGGAGAGAGAAAAAAATCATAATTTTCTTCTTTAAAAAAATCTTCCTCCACTAAATATAGTTCCTCACATTTTAACTTTTATTTGGGCATAAAATCTTGATATTCAATTGAAAAGAGTTTAACTTGTTTGAATTTGTAGAATTCAGACTTTATCTAAAACTTATATATACTCAACAAAAAAAAGAAACGCATATTGTTTTACTCCTCCAAGAAATTTTTAAAATGTACATGGAAGAAATATCTTTTATATCATTGGATACCTGTGACCTATTTAAAGGACAACATGGGGTTTTGAACCCCAAGTGATGAATTATCTCCCTCGATTAAGCGTGCTTATGAAAGTAGTGTTTTTCCTGATTTCTTCTAAATCGGATGTCTATTTTCGTTGATATTTTTGATTTAGAGAAACTACTAACACTCCTATTAAACACATATTTAAGATTTGATTGCAGTGTAGATGCTGCAATGCCACGCCGAGGCAAAGATGAACACAACTAGGCTAACAATAATACTAAACGGAGCTACGCAACAGGAAGTTGCAACTGCATTTGGAATACATCAATGGGCTTTGCAGCCGTTAAACTAACGTCGGAAGACCAAGAATTGGCCGTCCGCAGGTAACCACACCCAGGCAGGACCGTCAGACCCCCCCCCCCCCTTTTTCAGCACCTCATGCGATTCAGAACTGTTGTAAAACTGCTGCTATAATTGCTGGATGTAAAAATCAGCATACAAGTGCATAAATTGTTCGCAAGAGACTGAGAGGAGCTGGTATTCATGCACAACATCCTTACATTGGAAATCCACTAGCGCTTAGACGTTGCAAAGGACATATGGAATGTTTTAGACGGTATTCCCCTAGAATTTGGAGGCGTCGACAATGACATAAACTTCACTATTCTACTCGCAACACAGGACATGTTTGATTTTTATCAATACCCTCTAAAATCACTAATAAAAACAAAGAGTAAAATGAAAGCATAGATTATCATGTTTAATCTGAATATGCGTTTCTTTTTTTGTTGAGTATATGATGCAGAGTATCAAAATGTACAGGATAGAATCTTCAACAGTTTGTCAACGCGGATATACAGTACATACTGTATTTGATTCTGTACAATACACTTGGCAACTTGCCATTAAAATATGCCACTGTCGAACTTGTACAGATTTCTTTGAAACTCTGATCTGTTAATTCAATAATATTAATCAATTGCATGTATAAATTGACGAACATAAAACAATTCGAAATTCATGGTAAAATTACATGTACTTTTATTTTTTCAAGTACAAACTTTGATTTACTAAAGTAAAACATTGAAACAAAATTAAACTATGGTTGACTATAGCCAAGTAAAGTTATCTATAGAAAAATTTATGGTTATGAAGACCTCCAAAATATAGTATATTTTCCAAACCCTGGTTTAGTACCGTATGATGAAGATGGTGAGGATAAGGATGACGACAACCACTACCACACAGACACCAATGATTCCTCCGATCTGACCATTAGTAGTGGGGAGCTTTTCAAACTCAATTGCGTTGTTTGTATCAGTATCTGAGAGAAATTGCTATTACTTACATGTCTTTCGGATTCAGACATACGGTTTTGAAATTAATTGTAAATGACAATTGTATTTTTCAAAATTTAGGTTTCCCAAAAATAAAATTAAAACATTATTTTCTTACAGTTTGGGTTACCAGTTACGTTCAAAGAACAATTTGTTCCTGCCCACCCAGGCTGACAGTTACATTCTCCAGTCACGTGATCACAATTGTTCGTCTTACAAAGCTTACTGCAAGGGACAGAGCAACTTTTACCATAATATCCTTGACGACATTCTAAAGTAAAACAGATTTAAACCATAGCTGAATATAGTTACAGTAAAACATGTCTAATCCGACATGCAATATTGGGAGTCGAAGTTTCTTTCGGAACGGACAGGGTGTTGGATTGCAGAGTATAAAAAAAAAGAGAAATGATTAAAATGAGGAAAAAATTAACATCGGAAAAGACCACTTTCACATTTACAAAAGTTACTCCTCTTTGCGTGGTCAATCTGGGGTCAACCGGCGCAATGCACTGTTTTCCCTCTATAACCTTACCAACTTTATGGGTCAGTATCTTAGAAAAAAAATATGTATGAATATGTTCATTATGTTTCTCATGCTGCCCCATACTCTGGCAATACAGGTACACATTGAAATTGTCCGATTACGTTTGAAGATCAAAAATATTGACAGGTAACTTACAAATGACAAAGTGGGAAAAATGAGCGTTACGCCGATAACGGGAGATAACTGTTAGGAATGTGAAATTCGTCCATTCACAGCGTGACAGCTTATACAGGTGACGGATTAGACAGTTTTCACTATATTTATCTTTTTTATATATCATTCTCTACTTCAGGTGAAAAATGATTAAGAAATAAATGGGTTGAATTTTATTTTTTTTTTGAAGAAAAAAAAACTTATTTGAAGAATGCATTTACCATTTCTTACCTTGGCTACATTGTGGTCCTTGCCATCCATCAATACATCCTAGACAATTTCCAGTTAGTATGTGACAATTTCTTTCCTGACAGTTGACTGGACAAGGAATGTTGCATTCTTTCCCATATACACCGTTGTTAATACAGCCTAAAACATAAGAATATATTTAATACATTCGCAATAAGATAAATATGAATAAATGGTTTTATGTTATACCAAAACAAAGAAACAAACGACTAACCAAACACCTGCACTTCACAGAGATCAGCTATTATAGTACTTTGTCTTGATCCTGGAGGAACAATAACGTCAGTTCCCCTCTCGTTGTAATATGTAACGTAACGGCCATGTTGGATACACTGATGTTCAGAGAGAAGTGGGGGTAATGTATCGTTATTTTTATAACAAAGGAATCCCTCTTTATGGTCAGTGGTGTTTGAAATATACAGCGAAAATCCTGCATGGTTTTTCTGTCGTAATTCAACTATTAGAATGAAATAAAAAAAGATGCAATTCTGAAGGATATATTCAATCAATCTGAATATATTTTTATTCAATGAAGTATGTGTTCATTTCTTGATTTAGAAAAAGCATACGACTCTAGAATTCTGGATGTAACTTATACGCAAATATAAAAAATCATAAATCTAAATGTTATATACAAACAGCTGTTACCGATTATGGATATATTTGTAGTAAAATCAATTAAATAGGTTCTGGTATCCTATCAGTAGAGTTGATATGGTCTACTGCTTCATATACCTGTAACATACGTGCTTTTTCCCGAAATTTTCACCAGCTGGAGTATACCAGAAGGTGGAATATTTGTTTAGAGTTCTTGAAAGATTGATTAGTAGGTACACGTATATGACCCAAACAAGAGGATAAAAAGTGTTTCGACGCCAGATGAAAAACCATTTATCTTGATTTGGCCCCCAAATATTTATAAGTACCTGATCCCACCTCTGATGCTTTTAGAGGGTAATATTTATTGCTCTTCCAATTTCCATTGTTTAAATAAACTTTTGACTTTGATTATTGTTCCTTATTTGCAAATTTTATACCACGTCTTGTTCTAACATGTCTTTTGAAAGACGCTGTTGATAAATACTAGTCGCTGTGTTAATAATAGTTATTCAAAAGTAACAGAAGGATTTTAACATGAATCAGTTAAGAGAGAACGATTGTCGCACAGCACGCTGAATATTCTTTAGTTTTAAGACAACATTTGGATTATAATTAAAGTATTTTCAAAGAAAGGGTGGATACTCATTGCTTATAACAGAAGGTCATCAACCTAAGAATGTTAAGAACATCTTGCATGTGCATCCATTGATTTAAAATTTCAGCAGTAAGTATTTATTCAAGTAGCCTTACATGTTACGTATGAAAGACGCTTACACAGTTCATGTACATGTCCCTTAAGTGTATCGAAATTGTTACCCAGGGTTATACATGTTATAAGTTTTAATATACTTGTTATCTCCATTATGTACAAACCGTAATCATCACTGTCATTTCGATAGAACACTTTAATGCTGTAAATACTTCTGATACTCAGTAGATCAACTCTCCACCATACAACACTTGCCGCATTCGTTCGTGCACAGCTGTTTCCCTTAAATCTTTGGTCTGTGTTCCCATCAACTGCTTCGGTAGCACTTGTATTCATGTTAGTTGTGTAGTAAGTTGAATTTTGTTCTGCTGGTCTTTTAAATGCCATGTTTTCTATTAAAAAGCAAAAACCAGTAAACAAAATAATGCATCTTAATATAGTTTACTTATGTGCTGTTATATTGGAAAATGGCCAAAACTGTAGGAGGGGTAGCGTTTTGAAAGTATTTCAAAAAGAGCTTTACAGCATCATTTCAAAACTGTTAATCGAAATCAAGAAACCGATATAAAAAGTTATGCATCTTAGTGTAGTCTTCATCTCTGAGAAGTTTTATTAAAATCAGAATAAAACTAAGAGAATTTTTATAGACAACAGACCGACGAACGACGGTCATCTAATTATTGCATAAGCACCTTTGGTATCTGACGAATAGAACTTAAAAAAAACTTTTGACCCCCGGAATTTTCAGAGATTGGACTATAGGTGCTTAGGAAAAGTGACTTTCCCTAGCCAAGGGTTCATGATCAGCTCATCAACCCTTGATTAGATTAGAAATTGGGGGACATCAAAGGGGAGGGATGGGGTCACTATAAGGAATCATAGTATTACAAGACGGAAAAATCTGAAGGAGAACAGCGACTCATGTGAGCGTTGAGGCACAGGGCATCTTAAGAAATTGGCTGATCATACCCCAAAATAGTTTGAATATCTTTATTCTACAAATATATTTCATAAATTTAGTTTTTCAAGAATGTATACGTTAACAATGAAGAGTTAGCATAGAGTATTAATAATGCGTTTTAGTTGTTTGTATTTTGTAATATCGCCAATAAATCTAGCATTGTAAACTGTTGTTATTGTTGCATACGCCACTCATTACTAACTACACTGTATATAAATACACACTGTGTATATGTCTACGTAATTTACAAATATTTTCTACAAATGTGTAGGTTTGAATGTTTTACAAAAAACATATAATCTTTTTCTTACCATATCCCTGAATTTCAGAGATCAGCAAAGCCAGACACAAAATAAACATATCCCCAGTTCTTTAAGTAAACAACTGTATTAATGAACACGAATAAGGAAGATCTATTTCTTTTTCCAGTAGTGTGTAGTCGATCAGCAGGAAAAGGCGTTCAGACATGAAATATATGAATATAACGAATAGTATTCATAAGTCCATTATATAATGCAAAATAGGAGCAGAGCAAACACGGACCTTCAGAGGTGGGATCAGGTGCCATGGAGGAGTGAGCATCCCCTGCCAACCAGTTAGCCGCCCTGTGCTCCTTTTCATGATCGGGAAATAATTAATGGAAAAATTCGTTGACAATTCAGTGTGTTAAATGGCATAACAATTTGTATTAAAAAAGGTCAGTCAGTATATGACTTACTGAAAGATTGTATTTGCTGATAAAGTCATTGTATCGACTATAGAACTTACGAAATGATGACTTTAAATTAGACTGATGATATTCTTATTAAGCAGCTTGTTTATCAATAACTTAACTCGTTTTAAAAAATGTAGAGCATTGTTGCAACCACTATTGAAATAACGACCAATATTGAAATAATTATATCAATAGTGGTTGAGAGTGCATTTCAATAGCAAACACAGTTAGTAACCACTATTGAAATACAACCACTATTGAAATGATTTTATCAATAGTGGTTGAGAGTGCATTTCACTAACAAGCATTGGTAATTACCACTATTGAAATACAACCACTATTGAAATAATTATTTCAATAGTGGTTGAGAGCGCATTTCAATAACAAAGATAGGTAAAAACCACTATTGAAATACGACCACTATTGAAATAATTATTTCAATAGTGGGTGAGAGTGCATTTAAATAATAAACATAGATAGTTACTACTATTGAAAATCTACTACTATTGAAATAATTATTTCAATAGTGGGTGAGATTCATTTCAATAACAAACATAGGTTGCAACCACTATTGAAATAATGTTCACTTTTGAAATAAAAATTGCAGTATGGATAAAATTATTGATTTTAATAGTGCATTGAACAATGAATCCAATATAATTATATTGAAATAATTATTTCAAAAGTTGCTGATGCTGTGAAACTTTTCTTTCAATTGTGGTAGTATATTTCAATAGTGGTTGAAACATATGGTTACCAATAGTGGTTGAAACCTATGGTTACCATATTGAAATGCACTCTCACCCACCATTAAATAATTATTTCAGTAGTGCTCGCATTTCAATAGTGGTTGAAACCTATGGTTACCATATTGAAATGCACTCTCACCCACCATTAAATAATTATTTCAGTAGTGCTCGCATTTCAATAGTGGTTGAAACCTAAGGTTATTATATTGAAATGCACTCTCACCCACTATTGAAATAATTATTTCAATAGTGGTCGTATTTCAATAGTTGTTATTACCTATGTTTGTTATTGAAATGCACTCTCAACCATTATTAATATAATTATTTTAATAGTTGTCGTATTTCAATAGTGGTTACTAACTATGTTTGCTATTGAAATCCACTCTCAACCACTATTGATATAATTATTTCAATAGTGGTCGTTATTTCAATAGTGGTTGCAAAAGAGCATGCTCTTGTGTATCGAATTAACTGAGAGATATAAACCTCTTTTGCAGGTGATAAAGGTATATTCCTGCATAAGTAAGGGAAGTTGACGATTGAAAAGTTAACTCATCTCGTTTGTTATAAAAAATGTTTGTTAGATTACCATTATTGTCCTTTTTTCATGTAAAGTATCTTCATGTAAATATGAAACAGATGTGTCAGACTCTATGGTATCTTTAATTTCAAGCTCATCGGGATATATCGTATCGACATAAGAATGGAAATAAACATTGTTAAATGAAAACACGTCGTCAATATAATTATCTTAAAGTGTTTGGAAAGTATAAAGCAATGTTCAAGTACGTAGAATTGTTTATTGTTGAAGGGAACAGTAAGTGTTTTCTTCTTTTAACGTATAAACTTTGAACAAATTCTGCTTCACATGACTACATAATAGGTCTGATAACATGTACCCATGGGATATCAAACTAGGATATCTGTTTTAACCTTGTTAAAATTCAACATGATCTTGTCGGCATATACAACTACCATTCAGTCGATATGCTGACTGACGTTTACTTACAATGATTTATCCACGTATTGTCTTCTTTTTGCCAGATCAAGACAAGGAGCAATGGGATGTAATTGATGCCAATCCTCTGATGTTTTTGGAGGTTCGTTTTTTCCCTGCTCGATCACGATTTGTATTGCTTAAATGAACTTCTGAACTTAATTACTGTTTGTTATCTGCATGTTCTATGGTTCGAAAATATTAAAAATCTTTTAAAAGGCAACATTTTGCACCTCTAAAATCAATACATTGATGTTTGCAGACTCATTTTGTCGAGAGGTTGTCTCTTGGGGGTCGTTTCTATACAAATTAAGAAGGGTATTTCTTCAGACCGAATTATAGTAAAATTTCTCAATTTTTGGCTAATGACAAGGTGAAGTTTACTCCTCCATCGGACTTAATTCGATTTCTGATGATTTTAGAGACCCTTGTTTTATTGTTCTCCTTACAATTTGAATTGATTCAATGGTCTTTGAGCTTGTCATGATTATTGTTCGTTGTCTACATTTTTCTTTCTACTTTTACATTTATAGCTATGTTCTCAATATTTCATTTACATGTACACATTTCTCATGTATAACTAGAACTATTTTTATGCAAATACAAGGAAAAAACTTTCATTTTAAATTGTGACGAATGAATCAGTAGGGAAAGTCAGTCATGCAGTTATATTAATTGTACTGTCTGAACTTCTTGCTTCCGTATAGATGCGAAAGTTACTGAAATGGTTAGTCATAGGGATGTATAACATTATTTTTTTCCTATAAGTATTTGATCTAGTTGCACCGCGTATTGTGGTATAAAGCCCTACAATCGCAGAGTAAGGAGTTAATATTAACGTTGCGGGTTCGAATTCAAATGTAGAACGAGGAGACCGGTCCTTTAGATAAGACCATATAAACCTTGTTCCCGTGTCGCAGTAGATGCTGAAACGAAAAAAAAACAAGATGTGTTTGTGAAACACTATGCGCCCGGCGGCAACAAAGTTAAAAAAAACCCATATTTTTAGCATATAGGTCAAGATCACATGGTCATTAATCTTGGTGTAATTTGAAAGAACTTGATTAATGAAGAAAGCATACCAAATATGAACTCTCTATCTCTCGTGGTTCAAAAGTTATGGCGAAGGTTAAAAAAAACTATTTTTAACATATAGGACACAGTCAAGGTCACAAGGTCATTGACCTTGGAGTCATGTGAAAGGCTTCATTAGTGGAGTATGCATGCCAAATATTAAGTCTCTACCCATCTTCGACAAAAAAACTTTGGCATATAGGTCACAGTCAAGGTCACAAGGTCATTGACCATGGTGTCATTAAATAGAGCTCAAACAGTGGTGTATGCATACCAAATATGAAGTCTCTATCTTTTATGGTTCAAAAGTTATGGCGAAGGTTAAAGTTTGCAGAAAAGAACTATTTCTAGCATATAGGTCACAGTCAAGGTCACAAGGTCATTGACCTTGTGTCATTTGAAAGAGCTTAATTAGTAGAGTAAGCTTACCAAATATGAAGTCTCTGTCATTCATGGTTACAAAGTTATGGCGAAGGTTAAAGTTTGCAGACAAACAGGCAGACGGACAGACAGGACAAAAACAATATACGCCTCGGATCTTTCGATTCGGGCGAATAATAATCAGACACTGCTCAAATACCGGAAATACTGGGTACAGGTCTATATTTGCAGCCCTCCATCGGCAAGTATTCGTTCCGCAATATTAATATGGAAGAAAAATTCGCAAAGGGACGTTTTACAAATTTTTTCTATCAAAATATATGTAACCCTGTCATTGCACCAGAAGCCTTATTACTAAGAGTTTTACAAATAAGAGCTGAGGTACTTTTTTAATCATTGTAGCCAATTGCATTTGAATTACTGAAAGATGCTTGATAGCCAAATGCTGTAGAAAAATGTTGAAGAATTAATGCAATTATACAATTTGATCAAGATTATCACACCCTAAAACTAAGGCCCCTTTACCCTGGTCGCCCATGAATTAAGAGGCTTCCGTGTTTATAACTGTGTACTTAGTTTGTCTTCTCTAAGTACGGGGTTAAAGAGAAGACTTTTGAAACTTTCACAAATTTAATGGATTTAGACGTTATTCTCGATTGCAGTCCTAATCCTAGACTCATTGAAAAATGGATATCCCCAAAACCCATGTATGCCATATTGATTTAAGAAAAAATCAACATTATATGCACAGCTAAAAATGTTCATTATGTTACAAGCGACAGACAATACAATAGACGACGAAAGAGAACAGAAAGTAAAGGCCCTGTCACACCAAGCTGCGTTCACACGGAGTCTTTACGGCGTTGTTAAATTTTTAAAATCGCCGAGGAATCGCAGGAAAATTGCACAAATTTCTGCAAAATTTTCACAGTGTGAAGATGTCACGTCGTTCCTACGGCGATGGACGCGATTCTACGGCGATCTCACGGCGTTCTACTGCGTTCCCACGGAGATCTTTCGGCGATTGACTGCGGAGTTTTCACGGCATGTTAGGAGTTTTCGCCTCGTGTTCATGTCGTTCTCACTGCGCTGGCTGCGTTCACAATGCGTTCTTTACTCACTGATATATATATATTCAGAAGGAAAGTAAAACATTTTTGTTTTAAAAATTCAAGCTACACGATGAAAAGACTTCTAATCATCTTTTTAATAATTAAAAAGTGTTCTATTTAAATGATTTAATACTAAATTATAAATAGTTTTATCATTAAACTCCTTCTTTTTTTCAATTTTATCGGTTCAGATGTGTGTTAAATTTTCTTTGATTTTATAATGAATGTAAAAAAAAAAACACACTAGTAGTATAAACGGCCTAGATAGATACTCATTCTGATTGGCTGAGAGAAATCACGTGATCAGATTTGATTGGTGGAGGGGATAAATGGGTCAACTGAGTGGAGTTCTAACCCTAACCCTAACCCTAACTAGCCCTAACCCTAACCCTAACCCTAACCCTAACCCTAGCCCTAACCTAACCCTAGCCCTAACCCTAACTAACCCTAACCCTAACTAACCCTAACTAGCCCTAACTAACCCTAGTCCCCTAACCC